CAGTAAGGTCACAGGTTACAAGATGAACACACAAAAAAGTCTATATACTAACAAGGAATATGTGGAAACTGAAATTAAAAACACAATACCATTTATGATAGCGCCAAAGAAAATGAAATACCTAAGTATCAATTTAACAAAACGAATACAAATTCATATGCTAAAAATTACAAAATACTGATGAAAGAAATAAAATATCTAAATAAAAGATAGTGATAACACTGAATGCTGTTGAGGATGCCAAAAATCAGGATCGCCGAGAACACAATCCTGGTGGGAATGTAAAATGGCTCAGCCACTCTGGAAAATGGTTTAGCAGTTTCTTTTAAAACTAAAAATTGACTTAGCATACAATGTTGCAGTGGTACCCCTGCATATTTATTTCAGAGAAATGAAAATGTATATTTAATGTTCAAACCTGCACATGAATGTTCATTTATTTATAATAGCAAAAAAATGGAAACAACCTAGATGTCCTTCAGTGGGTGAATAGTTACATTGTGGTATGTCCTTACCATGAAATACTACTCATCAACAAAAAGGAAAGGACTATTTTTTCTTTTCTTTTTTTTTTTTGAGACAAGGTCTCGCTCTGTCACTCAGGCTGGAGTGTAGTGGTGTGAACATGGCTTGCTGCAGCCTCAACTCTCTGGGCACAGGGCATCCTCCCACCCCAGCCTCCCAAGTAGCTAGGACCTGCTAATGTTTAATTTTTTGTAGATACAGGGTTTCACCATTGTTGCCCAGGCTGGACTCCAACTCTGGAGTTCAGGTGATCTCCCTGCCTCAGCCTCCCAAAGTGTTGGGATTACAGGCGAGAGCCACCACATCTGGCAAGGAAGGGACTATTGATAGAACTGACTAGTTGGATAGATTTAAAGGGAATCCTGCTGAGTGAAAAACCCCATTTCAAAGGATTGCATACTGTATGAGTCCATTTGTACAATATTCCTGAAATGTTGTAATTATAGAGATGGAAAACAGATGAGTGTTTTCCAGGAGTTAGGATTTGGGATTCTTCCAGGAGTTAGGATTTTGTGGGGAGGGAGTAGGAGTGCTACAAATGGTAACACCATGGAGCCTTGTGGTAATGGGACAGTTCTGCATTTGATTGTGGTGGTGGCTACTGGAAGTTACACATATTAAAAAATTGCCAAGAACTACACACACACACACACACACACACACACACACACACACACGGGACACAGGAGTACCTGTGTTACTGGTAAAATCTGAATAAGCTCTGTGGATTGCAGCAACATTAATTTCATGGTGTTTGTATTGTACTACAGTTACATTGGGGAAGGGGGGAAGGGTATGTGAGACAATTTGGTACTTTCCTGTGAATCTATAAGTAAAAAGTTTAAAAATGCGAATCAGATTGTATGTGATCTCTTACTTTAAGTCATTTCAAGGCTCCCCATTGCAAGTAGAAGAAAATCCAGGTTGCTTACCTTAGATCACCTGCTCTCTGCCTAGCTCTCGCTGACCTCATCTCACTGCTCATCTTATTAACTGAGCCGAAACACACAAATCTCCCCTCTCACACACAGTGCCCTTTGTGCTCTGCTCCTTCCCACCTGGGAGATGTTTCACTTGCTGTTTCCTTCCTAAATAGGTCTTCATATATCTCACTGCATGGCTTGTTATCATTCGGGCTCACCTCCAGGTCACCTCCTGAGAGGAACTTCCCTGGCCTCCTGTTGAAAGCATTCTGTTTTTCTCTAGGTCATTCTACAGTGCATTTTCTTCCCAGCAGCTGCCATTACCTGAATTTATCTTTTATCTTTGTTTATTAATTGTCTCCCTCCATCAGAAGGTAAACTGTAAGAGGACTGGGACCATGCTCTCTCATTCACAGCATTATCTCCAGTGGTAGAAAGTGCCTGGTGCTGGATTCCAAGGGACAGCCTATACCCACACACCCACAGATGTACACATACGCACGTGTACACTAAAAAGGACTCCCTTTCCTCGCCTAGGTTCTGAACAATCTCAATAAATATAATAAAAGGGTCAAGACAGAAGTAAAAACATCACCTTTCTTATTAAGAAGGGAAAGTTTAGCAGTGTAGTTTAGACAATTAGGCAGCCTTACCCCACCGGGTCCCAGGCGGCTCTATAGTGAATTAATCCCTCCTTCACCAATGCCAGCAACATAGGTGCGTGCGAAATATTATGTGAATGAAAGAGGGAAGGAACAAAAGCTGTGATGGATTCCTGAGTCTTCACTCATGTTGGGTCCCAGAATAAGGCACAGAAGTAGGACTGCTGATTTAAAGATATAGGGTTCAGGTGCCAAAGATGCTGAGGCTAGCTGCAGGCACAGGTAGAAGACAGTCTGCAGAGTCTCCATGCCAGGCCCAGACACTGAGACGCTGTTCAAGGTGAAGCTGGGGGTGGTCACACATCTTTTTATCCACCTGCATCTGCTCATTTACCTAGGTGCGGTTTCCATTATTTGGGGGAGGGGTAAGTGATTGCTGTTTCTATGAGTAGGCTCACTTTAGTACTCCTTGATGGTACAGTATTAAGCAACCCACCAGCCTTAATAGAGTTTATGTCTGTATCACAACTCTCTTGTCTGAAAAATAATGAAAGCACACCTAACGTGTACTTCTCAGCTACTATAAGGTACCATATTAATCAGAAGCGGAATTTTTTAAAATGATAACCCTTGAGTTACAAATTACCACTACAGCATCTCCTTTAATGAAAAATGGAAGTTTTGGGGAGCCAAATAGATAGTCTGGAGCAGTCTGGCTACAGCTGTGAATAAAAGACAAAAAAGTAATTGTCAGCACCATCAGGAGAAAGAGAAAGAATATGGGTTAGGTAGATACCGGTTATATGCAAGTATGAGGACTAGAAACAACACCCCTAATTCCAGCAGCCTTGAAAAAGAAAATCTTTTTTTTTTTTTTTTGAGACGGGGTTTCACTCGCAGTACCCAGGATGCGGTGCAATGGCGCGATCTCGGCTCACCGCATCCTCCGCCTCCTGGGTTCAGGCAATTCTCCTGCCTCAGCCTCCTGAGTAGCTGGGATTACAGGCACGCACCACCATGCCCAGCTAATTTTTTGTATTTTTAGTAGAGACGGGGTTTCACCATGTTGACCAGGATGGTCTCGATCTCTTGACCTCGTGATCCACCCGCCTCGGCCTCCCAAAGTGCTGGGATTACAGGCTTGAGCCACCACGCCCGGCCCGAAAAAGAAAATCTTTAAGAAAGGGGAAATGTTGTTTCTACTCTGAACCACCATCACTAAATTATCTCATTGACCCAATATTGCTCAACACATAGATAGATCCAGCTTTTTTTTTTTTTTTTTTTTTTTTTTTGAGATGGAATCTTGCTCTGTCACCCAGGCTGGAGTGCAATTGCATGACCTTGATTCACTGCAACCTCCGCCTCCCAGGTTCAAGCAATTCTCCTGCCTCAGCCTCCAGAGTAGCTGGGATTGCAGGTGCCTGCCATCACGCTCGGTTAATTTTTGTATTTTTAGTAGAGATGGGGTTTCATCATGTTGGCCAGGCTGGTCTCAAACTCCTGACTTCAGGTGATCCACTTGCCATGGCCTCCCAAAGTGCTGGGATTATATAAAATTTCTTTTCTATTCTCTCTCTCTGGTTTGGTTTGTGTCCACCGGGTAAGGTTAAGCCCACCTGTATGCTTTGTCAAATGATTCAGTGGTGTGTGTGTGTGTGTGTGTGTGTGTGTGTGTGTGTGTGTGTGAGAGAGAGAGAGAGAGAAAGAGAGACAGAGAGAGAGAGAGAGAGAGAGGGAGAGAGAGAGATAGGGGCATGGGAGGGTAGAGGTGTCAGAGATCTCTGTGTAAAAACCAGATCTACTCACTGTTCCGGAATTGTTTTATGATTTGAAGAGCTGTCACAGGTCACTAAAGACTTGGTGTCTTAGCTTTTCACCTTGCTTTCCTGTGGAAGAAGAGACCCTGAGCACCAGAACAGCATGAAATTCAGGAAAGGGGAAGGTAAAAACAGAGTTTACTTAATGTCTATTTGTAGAAACCTCCTCAGTGAAATGAACACACCTCTCCATGTCAATCAAGGCGTTCATGGTGTTCAAGGTTGCAGGAAAAAAATCTCCACTAGTCAACATTTGAAAATGTCTTTTTTTTTTTTGAGATGAGGCTTCACTCTCTCACCCAGGCTGGAGGGCAGTGTAATCGCAGCTCATTACAGCTTTGACCTCTTGACCCTCAGCCGTCAAGTAGCTGGAACTACAGGCATGTCACCATGACTGACTAATTTTTGTTTTAATTTGTTTTAGAGACAGGGATCTCTGCTACGTTGACTATGCTGGTTTCTAACTCCTGCCCTCAAGCAATTCTCCTACCTCAGGCTCTCAGGTAGCTAAGATCATAAGCGTGAGCTGCCACGCCGGACCTGAAAATGTCTTTCAGTCAGAAATTTACCCACATTTGTGAAAATACAGGAGCTGCACCATATAACCTACAGAAAGTGTTTTTGAGACAGACTTTGGGAATCTGCTTTTCTAAGTTAGAAAATGTAAGAGTCCCCGCTTGGTGCTTAAACCTATTCACACGTATTTATCATTGTTTGACTCGTATTGCCATTTAACTTTTCTCCTGTTTATCCCTTTGTCCCCTAATGAAAAAGGGGACAAGGAGTATGTGTCAGTCAGGCTCCCTGCAGGAAGCAGAAGACACATTCAGATGGAGTTTGGAAAAGAACTGAACAAAGGCTACCTATTTACAGAGGTGAAGACAGGTTCGAGAAACAAGTAGGGCTGAGGAGGAACCCAGGAGTAGCCACAGGGAGAAATCTGCTGCCCGTTGGCCTAAAGAGGCCTTGTGGGAGCTGAAGTCATGCAGGAGGAGCTCCCGGACTGGCATATCAGAGGGGTCTTAGAGGGAATGCAATACCAGAACCCCTGTGCAGCGGCAGAGAGGGATGGGGGAAAAGACATTGACCTCACGCTCCATTAGGTCTTAATCTTCCACCAGCGCCTCCAGTGGCCAGACCCACCTGGAACTCAGAGGACAAGGGCGCCCAAGACATACGGCCTGCAGCAATTCACTGCTTGGGACATAGTGCAGGCTACAGAAGGGCCCTGAAAAGAAGATAACAACGGCTATCATGTTGCCACCCCACGGTGGCAAAAGGAGTGAATTTTGCCAATTACTATCAGTGCCCTTGATATTCCAGGTGAAAGAAAAAGTGGACTCAGCAGATTCCCTGTGGATAGGACCACTCAGGAGAGAAGGTAAAAGTGGATGAGAACTTGGCGGTTGTTTTTTTTTCCTCATAATGAGCATGACATCACCTATACTTGGGATATGCAAGGAATGAAAGAGGAAAAGAAGATCACACACTCTTAGACTGGTCTCCAGAGGCAGTAGGCAGCCCAGATTTGAAGTAACAGCCCTAGGTCTGGGACAGTTTCTGGTCTGTACCTGCCAGAATGTTGCTCCATTTTGCAAGGAATTCAGGCAAAGTTTGATTCAAGAAGTCTGTATTCTTTGAGAAACTGCCTTGGCCATAGAAGAGCTGACTTAGCTCACCAGGTCTTCCATCCACAGGGACGAGCTTTTGTTGCATGGTGTCCTCAGCCTGGTTGTTTCTGGCAGAGCCTGATGTGCACATATATTGATCAGAAATCATATTGCTCAAGACAGGGATTATCTTGCCATCAGGGCTAGCTTTGTGGATGAACGTACAGAGAAGTGAGGTTTGATGGAAGGCGAAAAGTACTTTCCAAATCCCAGTGTTTTTTTTTCAGAGTCGTTTCTAACTCATTTGTGTTGTTTACTCTTTCATCATTTGATAAATATTTAGAGTGCAATGCGTCAAACAGAGCTATCATAGCTCAACTGTAGAATACCCCAACTTGTGCAGTGCCATAGCCCTGTTAGGCTCTGTACTTGACCCAGGTGACAGAAGGAAAATATAGTCCTTACCCTCTTAAGAACATAATTGGTTTGCATATGTTCACACCTGCCTTTTCTCCAATTAATTCTCTATAGAACATGCATTGTGATCATTGAAAAATACAGTGTAACCATGTACCCCTCTGCTTAAAATCGCTCGATGGCTTCCTGCTGCCCAAAAGGTCAACAGCAACATCTTTCACAAGGCTGATTGGCCCTGAGTGAAGAACACAGATGTAAATCACAGGACAACACTGGAAGTCCTGCAATAGACACTAACCAAGTGTTGCGGCTCAGAGGATAGAGCCTGGGGCTATCCTCTTGAAAGTCCCACACCATCCATTACTTGGCATAAGTTTTCAAGTATCTAAACAAAAACAATATTTCCTGGGAGGTGGATGGTGTTAGCTTTACCTGATAACAATTTTCAGATCTATTTTATAGAAAATATTGAACCCCTTTCTTTCTCTGTTTCTGTGTCTCTTCAGCATTTAAGGATACTTAAGCCTCGTATATCCTCAAGTGTTCTCCCTGGACCCCACTTCCCCCACTCCTCATTTCTCCCCTTTGCCCTGTATAGCAACACTTCTCAAAAGAATTGTCTTCTTTCTGGGAGGTCATTTTCTCATCTCTGTCATTCCTCATCTTCCAGCTCACTTCATCCTTTTTTACAATACCATCATGCAATCAAAAGGATTCTCACGAAGGTTGACAATGGCCAGCATGTTGCTAGAATAACTGGCAACTCTTCAATCCCCAGCTTGCTCAACTTGTAGCAGCATTTGATACTATGGATGCCTGCGCTTTCTCAAAACACTTGCTGCCTCTGGCATTTGTGAAACACATTCTCCTAGCTTTCCTCTTCTTTCTTTGGCTCTTCCTTCTTAAAGCTGTTTGCTGGACTACATGCCTCTGCATGATCTTTAGATGTAATTCCCAAAGGCTTTTTTCTGTGTCTCTTTCCCTTGTCCCTCTATCCTCTCTCCTGAACTGAACTCATCCCCACCCATGGCTTCAATGATCACCTATACATCAACAACACTACAACTTTATTTCATTAGCCCCATCTTTCCTTTTGAGATTCAGATTCACATATATTGACTTTTCTGTCTGAAAAGCCATGACAAACTCAGCTTATTTAAAACCAAACTCATGATGTTCCATCTACCTCAAAACTGGCCTTTCTACAGTGAGTAGCTCCAGCACCTATCAACAAGTATGGCTTCACTCTTTACACTTTCCCTCCGATCTTCCCAAAGACCCAGTCCTGTTTTTTAACCCAGGTGTCTCTCCAGTCTGACCCTATCTCTCCTCCCCCACTGCCATCTCCTAAGTCTAAGCCACCATCACCTCTCCTTTGAACTGTGGCAATGACCTGCTAATTAATTTGCATAGGTTCACGCTTACCCCTTCTCCAATTAATTTTCCACAGAATACACACAGTGACCATTGAGAAATACAATGTAACCATGTCCCCCTCTGCTTAAAGTCACTCAGTGGCTTCCTGCTGCCCAGAAGGTCAACAGCAAAATCCTTCACAAGGCCCATAGGCCCTAAGGTGATCTAGGTCATAAATGACCCAGCCCTGGGTCCCCGGCTTCAGCCCCAGCTCTTTCTCTTCCTCTTGCTCAGCCACACTGGCTTTCTTTCACTGGTTCCTATTGTTGTGCTCCTCCTGCTTTGGGACCTATGGAGTGCCAGTCCTTCTTCCTAGATACCCATCTCTCTTCTTTGCACTAAATTACATAAACCAACTTTTAGATCTCAGATTAAATGTTCCATTCCCAGGGAGTCTTTCTTAAACTCTAGGGTAGATAAGCCCGTTTTCTTTCTTAGTCACTTGAAATTTGTAATCACATGCTTCTACGGTTTTTTGGTTAATGTTTGTCTTTTCCTCTCTCCTGTAATATTCATGATGTCTGAGTCCGTTTCTGTTTTCTTCAGTATAGGATCCCTAGTTCTTAGTGTAGTACCAGGCACATAGTAGGTACTCAATCGCTTTTGGAAGGAAGAAAGCCTGAAAAGAAGGGCCCAGAGGGAAAGTGACTGAGGGTAGGTGGATTACCACCTTGGGAATTACTCAGGACAGATATAGACAATTTGGTGGATGGGTCATGATGGTGGCAATCCTCAGGCAGAAGAGAACCACGAGGGTGTGTCAGCAACAGAAGGCCAGGTCCACAGGCACCCTCTCTGCCTCTGTAAGGCTGCACCACAGAGCGGGTGGGGGCACACACACTAACCTGTGAGTCCAAAGACCTGCTTTCAAGGTCTGGATTTGATGCTAACTGGTGTGTCCTTTCCCTCTCATTCACAACTTCATCTGTAAGATAACAGGGTGGAGTATTATAGCAGTCAGGGCTCTTAGTTGCAAAGAAGCAAATATTGCTTCTGGGCAGTTGAAGCAGAAAATGAACTGATTGAAAGAATGCTGGCCAGCTTACAAGATTACCTAGAAGCCTGGAGGCCCAGACCTAGAGGACAGGCAAAAGCAAGGAAGACTGTGCAGACAAGCCAGGGCCAGAATGTCAGGGAGGGACCAGACAGTGGCGGGGCCACTGTGGCCGCTTGACACGCCAAGTGTCACAGCCTGCACCTGTGCCAGGAGTGGGCCCACAGCACCCCTGTACTAAATTGGCTGTGCTGTCGTTGGAAACTGGATGTCGCTGTCTTTGCTGCTACCCTCGGAAAGAATTTGCCACTCCCTCCTTCTTTGCGTCACTAACTCCTGACTCACAAACCTGAGCAGGTGCATCTGACTTTCTGAGCTAGATCATATTAGAGCCCTGGCTGCCAGGGGAAGTGGGAAAGCAGAACTTTCCAGAGAAAGAGGCAGACTCTACCAGCCAGCTTCATTCTTGAGATAGAAAGTTCCCCAGTGTAGGAACTGAAGGGTTCAGATTCTGGGTAGCCATGAACATCACATATCCAGTACTAGGCCGTCTCCAAGGTCCCTCCGGCATTAATCATCCATGTTTCTGGACACCACAATGAGAATGGACGTAGTCATCACATCAATATCCTTCCCTCTAAATCAGCAGGCTCTAAGAGCGACATCGTCATCTGTTTGCTACAGACAACTGTGCTCTGTATTACAAATTCTTATTTCTAGGTACTTGAGAGACATACTCTGCATGTCCTTGCTTTCATGTTTAATTGAGCCACTGACACCAGCCTGCTCTTCCTGGCCCCACAGCCCTAAAAATAGGACATTATTGAATAGCCCAATAACCTGGTCAGAACTCTCTGCCTCCCACAGGCCTGTGTGTGGATTCATGTTTTCAGTGAGCAGATGCCCTTTCCATTAGATGATCTATTTTTAAACTTGCCAAATGTCAATTCTCTCTCAAATGACAATTCCCATTCTCAAAGACTCACTGGTTTGTTTGTTTTCCTGGCGGAATTTACTCTACAATATAAAAAAAAACATTTGTCATTCATGTTCTTTTTGGACAGAAGTAACATTTTTAAATTCTTGCCTCTCCTCTCTTCTTTTTTATTTGACTGAGAGCTAAGAGAATTGATAAAAAAGGGATTCTGGAAGTGCAGGGTCCAGGATGTTGGAGTAATTTATGCGCCTTCTTTTAATTCAGTTTCCACCATATCTGCTTCCTTTTTTTTGCATTTAAAGTAGCCAAGCTGCAGGAGCAAAGCAAACTTTATAAAATCATTCAGTGTGAATAGCTGATTCCGGTTTAATTTGTTGCTACTTCAAGGTAGCATAGAGGTGTGAATATAAAGTAATACGACTGATGCTTAAAAACCTCTAGACATCTGACACATCCAAATGAATGTTGAACTCCTCAGAGAGTCCCCTTTGGATGACATTGCACTTGGTTTGACAATATTATCTCTTTACTCAAAGCATTTTTGGAATAGTTTTTCAGAGTCATCTTCCCAAGTGTGGGTCAGGCCCTCCAATGTCCTCAGTGCCTGAGGAGCATGGGCATTAGCTCAGGAGACGGTGCTGTCCCACTCTTCGGAGATGGTGTAAGAGAGGTGTTAAGTGTGGTCGCAGTGAAAAGGGTATGAGCTCTGGAATCAGATGATTTGGGTTCAGATCTTCTCTCTCCCACTTACAAACTTGGCCATGCTGCTCAACATCTTGAGGCATCAGACTCTTTGTGTAAAATGAAGGAAGTTACATCTTCCTTGCAAGGTTGTCGTGAAGGTTAAATGAATTAATGCGTACAGAGTTCTGGCACCTGGTAAAAATTTAGAGTGTTAATACTGTTCTCTATGCCACTATTTCCTTTTTCTTCTTTTTTTGTGAGATAAGGCCTCATTCTGTCACCCAGGCTGGAGTAAAGTGATGTGATCACTGCTCACGGCCGCC